TTAGATAGTTCACTACCTTCACATAACCAAAGTGAAAGGAACATTAGATTCACGTTGGAAATAGATGATGATAGGTCTCTACCCTTTTTGAATGCTCTGATCATTATAGAAAGTGGTAAGTTAGGAAGATATGTTTATAGAAAGCCAGCGTATGTTGGCTCTTTACTGAATTTTCTTTCCAAGCATAGTCACAAAATTAAGTTAAGAATTTTAAACTCCATAATTATTATTAGTATGAGACTAGCGGATAGCAACCGTTTGTTCAAAGAGCTGGAAAGTTTGAAAAATGTATTCCTGGAAAGTTATGATCAAAGATCAAAATTGCAATAAGAGTAAATTGAGTGAGGCTTCAAAAACCCAAATCGAATTAAAGATAGAGGAAAAATTAAGTATTTTTTTCATTATATTAGTACTAAACAGGTTTCGAAACTACACCACATCTTGAATACGAATTATATTCAACCTGAGTCGTATACGGTGATAAAGGATAGATAGATAGAATGATTAGTATAAATCGCATCCACTTTTAGTTCCTAAATGGTATTCTAATCCAGAGTGTACTCCAGCTTTTATTCAAAATCCACTTACTCAAACCGAATATGTATAATTCGCCTAATCAAAATAGTAAACACAAGATTGTTTCATCCATACTCCCACTACAAAATGTGATATTGGAAAGGCCTAGCTTGCCTCGAAATTCTCGTCTATTCTGTACTCCACGGGCATTTGTTATAGTTCCTCGCTGAACTAATCGGATACGACTCCCCTAGGGACTGCTGATAAAACCCTGACGACGTCGAAACCGTCGTCCTGTCCAGCCGAGTCGGGGTGAAGATACATTAGACGAAGCAAGGCCGAATTAAATTTGACGACATCATAGACCTAATTTATGAGTGTGGGAAAATGCAATTTTTGCCCCTTGCCAACTGGGATGCATACAGCTCCTGGCCCAGTTTGTTTGGCCGGTATGTTCGTCCGGTCGTCTTCCACAGACAAGTAACAGCCTTTGTTGTACGACTGGTTCATTCACAGTCCCAACCCAGCCTCACTAGTTTGATCCTTTTGAAGGGCGGACTCGACGAAATCGGTTCTCCTTCGCCTGGGGACTGGTGTTTTTTTTCACAAATGAGTTGAGTTTCAAGACAATTAGGGTTGTTTTTGGGACAGCAAAGCAATGTGCAATTCAACGGAATACATCAGCTCAAATCATGTCATTTGGGGAAAATTCAACTACCAGTTCTTCATCACCTTAAACCAAATATGGTGAAAACAACCCATTTATCTGATCTACTACTCATAGTCACGAAAACTTACTCATTCACGAAAACAGGTCTCAATCTTCTCTTTCTCCCTCCCCTCCTCTTTTGCAGGAGCAAACAATTCTGGTGACGAGGAGGCGGATCACTGGCACCAAGTAATCCAGGGCAAGGGAGCGCGAGTCGCGAGATGGCATGTCCTTCACGAAAATGTTCCATAATTGCGGCAGCGCTCTTCGACGTCGATGGAGCCGAATGGAGGCTCAGTCAAGTGCATACCTTGCTGACCGCATCTACAGCTTTTATCGAATCTGCTTCTCCCTCTTTTTATTTCACCGTCCTTACTTGCAAATCATCTTCACTTTTTTCGTCCTCCCGTTCTTCACAACACCTTTCCTGGGCGCGTCGTACTTCTTTCCTGTTCTCCCATTTCCGCCTTCACAGATACACATGCAGATCAAAACCTACCGGCCGTTAGCCATTGCCATTTGACTGACTTTAATTTCAGGCATTTCCACAAATCCCTTTGCTCTCAATCTCTCTCTTGCATACGCACACACACGCACACATACACACTCACACTTCCTCCTCAGTGACATGATAGATGACTCACTTGCATGCATAACATGCATACATAAACCCTTCATGTGCCCAAACTAACCGATCATCTTTTTACTAGCCTTCATGGCCAACACTATCCTGCATTGACTTGTAGTCCCGTTA